TGATGAATTGAAGTACTTATTGTTTGATAAATTTACGCAATACATATTTATATATTAATGGATTTTAAAAATATAAAGAAAATAAATATGTAACTATACATGTAACATGCTACCTGGATAATAAAGATATATAATGTATTAATAGATTTTTAAAATAAAAAATAATGAAAATAGATGTGTAAATATTGCATATTTTCTGGAGAATTAAAATATATAAATATAAAATCATGTTTAAAAATCATATTAATAATATTTTTATTATTCACACTCTTTGCTTGTACAATCTTTAGATTACAAACTGGCATGTTGACTGGTCGATGCGCTGATGGTCAATGCATTTTATCACTTATCCTGATTGTCAGACCTGCTCGGCATGTTGATTGGTCGACGCGCTGATGAGTTAATCGCTAATCCTGATTGACAGCTCTGTTACGCAACACCGAACGCGCGTTCGCTTTCTGGGACCGCTACTGAATTCGGGGTTCGCTTTCTGCGTTCGCTCTGGGTCCGCTCTGGGTTCGCTGCGGGTTCGCTACGGGTGCGCTCCGGGTTCGCTCGGGGTCAGCACTAGCGGGCCACAAGCGAACCCGAAGCGAACCCAGAGAGCGAACCCGGGTTGCGCTCTGGGTTCGCTTTCTGTTAGGTTGTGTCTGGTCGGTACTGTATGTTTATAAACAAAATTAAATTATCAACGAGTCATATGTAACCAAGGTATCCCAGTACGTTATTATAGGTACATTGTATGTGTTTAAAAAAAATATACTTTGAAAGGATCTTCTTTTATCTTCTAACTAAATATAATAGTGAACAATGATTAAATCCCCTTGCAATGACGTTAACCTCTGTGTTCATGAACAGACCACATGTGATCATAAATGTAAATAGGGATATTGTATTCAGAAATGCACGAAACAATATGCATTTTTCTTACTGTACATACCTTTTTCTGTAAAACGCAAAAAAGTTCCATGTTACTGAATGCGTTAAAGAATCAAACAAATATGAGTATCTTGCAAATAATATTTACACATCATTGGGAACAAATACAGTGTATGACTTGTCTTTCAGATGTGCCGGTTAAGCATGAGGCACCAAGAAATTAAAATTATTATGAAAACCGCCATATTCTGGAATTTTTGACATTTAATTTAATTTTGGACATTATTTCAGATTTCAGATGCCATAATTTGACTTATTGGGGTCTTCTTTCCACAATTTCCGCTTGCCTTCTCTCGACCGACTGACTAAAAAAGACCCGACTCTTAAGGCTTTTAAGTCTCTTGGATTTTTTTCCCTAAAATTTATCTCGGAATTTTCTGTATTACGTCAACAACTATTTTTATTTTATTAACGTGTTTGATTCAATGAATAAGAAAGTTCAGTTCTAATGTCGAATTTTTCTTGGAAAGATTTTGCTCCTTTTTTTTTTCCTGAGATTAAAAAAAATATCTTTTCTAAGTTGGCCTAAAAAGACAACGATATGTTCAACATCTTCAAATATACTCACCTTTCCATCATTAAATGAGGATATTATCAAAATGTCAACTGTTTACATGTGCTAAAATCGCACACTAGTTAGAGAATACACACGGCACTAAACTTTACTAAATTCCCGAATGGTTATTGATCGAGGAATTTTTTCGTTAAAATTATTTTGCCGACGACCTGAAATAAGAAGACGTCCATTATTCAAAACCTTATGTGAATCTTTCACCTTGAAATTAGATCAGTCGTAGTGTTGAATTAAAATCATTTGAAATTAATATCACCATAATATATTGATTACATTTAGATAGCGATTTAGCACATTGAAAATTAAAGGGACAAAGTGGTATATTATCTTTCACGTTTACTCTACAATGAAACAAAGACACCAAGACTTTTTTTTAATCAAACCGACCCCATGAGTATTTTTCTTTACAAATCTCCATGCATGGGCTAACGTGAAAAGAAGGAAGTGATACATGTATAACATATGATATCAAAGTAAAAAATAAAAAGAAAAAAAAAATCATTAGAATTTAGAAAGAAAGAAACATTTCGTTGTGTTTCTTTTTCAATCTAACTTTTTTTACATGTGGTATTTTTTGTTATATTTTATTATTTGATGTAATTATAGAAAAATCCACATATTTTTTTTCTCTACTGTCAATTTCAAATGGTTATGACGTCATATATTTACTTGATATACAGCAAAAAAGATGCATATTGATAACATTATTAGATTAGTTACAGATCGATGTGAAAAATGCCAGAAAAGAAGACAAGAATTGGTTGAACCTCTGTTTCTTTCTGGAATACTAAAAATTCAAATTGATTTAAAATATTTAAAACAATTCCAGAGGTCCAAAATAAGAATAAGAACGATATGATAAATAATTTTACATATAACGGATAAGTCACGCATTCGCAAGTTCAAGGAGGAATACTTACGAATTATGTGTTATGCAACAATGCAGAGGGAGTACATCATTTTTTTCTTCAAATTTTTATCTTATTCTACTGTCATCATTTTCTTCCTAAAATGTGAATATGACGAACAGTTATGAATTTCATACACCAAGTCATCAAAACGAAATGTGAACAGGGCATTAACAAGGACCACTTGAAACATCAGAGTTAGGATCAGCTGCTAAGGAGGAGTAAGTAACCTCTGTTGACAGTGCACACCCCTATTGAACCTTATGTATCGTCAGGTATAGAAAGTACTCTCACTAGACGAATATAGTATTAAAGCAATGGCGTAACAAATCAATCAAACATGACAGACATATTACGAGCCGAGTGATGCTAGGTTGTATTTAAAAAAAGGTCATTATAACAAACTTAGAAGTTGCAAAAAATATTACTTTACAGGGGTCGTTTGAATCCTTGTTACATAAACGTATTTGTCAGAAACTTGCCTAGGTTTAAAAAATGATTGTAGCCAAAGCATGTTGTTGCGTATCGAATCGGTTTCAAGACATACATATCATAATTATGCATACGATTTAGGAACATATAATTGCATAAATAAGGGGGTGGGGGTGGGGGTGTTGACGTTGGAAATGTTGAGGTCATCCCTTTTGTTATGCAGATTAAGTAATAGCTAGTCAGAATGGCCATTTCATAAAGAAATGGACGTTATATTATCTATTTTTTAATCAATGTAAAAATTCAAAAGGTTAAAAATAATGAAGAAATAAATAATTCGACATTAATTCCCAATTATACATAATTTACCTATATATAACTCTCTAGTATAATCATTATTTGAATGACAATTTCATTTGACTATCTAAAGAAAAGATGCTATCAAACTATCAACAACATCTAATTTTATTACTTCAAAGAATTATTTAGCGTATCGCTTTTTCGAATCATTTCTATTCACTTTGAGAGTTTGCAATTGCGTAGCCAACGTATTTGTTCGTTTTTGTTAATTAAATTTATTTATTTAAATGCTGTTTTATTCACCATTCAACTTTTTTTAATTGTCATTTTTATTAATATCCTATTGTTTGTGTATGCTTTCATTGTGACGTCATTATTTAACCTCGAAATTTAATTCCTGTATTTTAATTTCCTAGAACAGTAAGAAAAATAATATATTCAATGACATGTAGTAATGGTTTGTTTGATTGTTAAGTGGATTGATCTCTGTCTACATTGATCTGACATAATATTACTCAGAATTCATAAATAAATACCAGACCATATTTTTATGGAACAACATATAGATTTTCAGATTTTTAACGAATCGGAAATTTTCTGCTGGCCAAAAAAAGATGTCCTATTTTCAAAAAATAAACATTTATTTTTTTAAGCCTATAGACACCTTTCTTTAAAGGGAATAGTTGTTCATTTTTTTAGTGTGCCATTCTACATTTGTTTCACATGCCTGCTGGATATTCGCTGCCTTCTATTTTATTTTGTTTTGTTGGATTTCGAAATTGATATCCTTACAAAACCTTTTCTTATTTTGACATATATGACATTAAGGATTGGTCTAATGTTTCCATGTAATATTTGAAGATAACTCAACATCTTTTCGTATGATTATTCAAATTTTCAAGGGACAAATACTATTTCAACTGCCTCATTTAGATGTACCTCAAGTATCTCTTTTAGAATGCATCTAATCATAAAGCATTGCAATTGAAAAAAAAAGATTTAAAATACCAATAAAAATTCAATCAATTTTAATTTGGAAAGAATTGGTGTGTTTTATCAGAGAAAAGAGAATTGTTTATTTTGACAAAATCACTCAGATTAAATCATGAAAAGACATTGGAATTACGGAATATTAAAGAAATCGTCGATCACCTTCTGTATTTTAGAGTAAATCAACAACGCAAAATTAATGGACTGATGTTCATGTCCTTTAAATGTCCTTTGTAACCAGAAACTCTCTCTTTTTTTTTTGGGGGGGGGGGTTTACAGTAACCCGACCCCTATTATTCTTTGTGTTAGGGTGTTTGCTCTAGAATGGCGGATTACGGAGTTGATTCTAACATCGTGGGTTTGAAACCCACTGTGGAACGTAGAGATCGGTTCTTCGGATAAGACTGTATGATCTGTGGTCCTCTGACACAGTAAGTGCTGGTATGATAAGGATCCCACTAAAAGGCCTTAAGTTGATAATATATAAAATGAAAAACTGACAAATTTTGATAAATAAACATATTAGTGACAGCCAATTCTACTCTTCTAAGTATGGTTTCCTTTTTTTGAACAATGTATTTTCTGTATTTGTGAAGAGATAAGCTTCTTTAAAATGCATTTTATTTACTGAGCTTAGTATGGGGCCTGAATTAAACACACTTCAAAAATCATGTCGATTTTCCTTGAAATCCTTAATGATATTAAAAAAAATATTATGAAAGTAAAATTTTGGTTTAAGATATTCATAAACCTGTGTTTTAGAAAATAAAAGAAACTTAAATATTTTCCTAATCTTAAAATTTATTTCCATAAATGATAGTCTCTCATAAATGGTCTAAATCTTTTTAGGCTGAATTTTAGACACTTGTTCTCCTGATTTTCATGTCAGCATACATCAGGGAATATCTATATCCTTTCCAGTGACCCCAGTTCACACCGTCAGCAAGGGATTCATGCTCTCCTTTCAAATATAGGCCATTGAGATTCGCTGTGAGACAAGCTTTGTACCACCAGCCCCCTTTGGTTTGTTTTGCACATTTCTTCTCATTATCACGATCCTTTGTGACAAATTTCATACCATTATGGATAAACATTGAGTTGCCTAAAGAAAAACATTTTTGAGGTTAAAAAACATTAATTGTAATCAGATAATAATTAACATAAAAATGATGACGTAATAAGTTAATAGTTAACATAAAATGATGATGCAAAGGACTTACCAGCGTCTCCTCTATAAAGTGAGACGTTCAAAATAAATCCCGACTCCTCATTTCCAACACTGAATTTCCTGTAGGTGGGTACATACCTCTAATTATTTTTAGAATCGGTAGGAGAAGAAAGTAGTGCAGAAAAAATTACAAGTTCCTTAATTTGCAGACCTGAATTAAAAAAAATGTGATAAGGTATTAAACTGAGCCTCATACTTGTTGATAAGTAGTATGTTCTCTTGCAAAAAAGCTTGGCAGATGTAATTTATCAAGAAGATCAGCAGAATTATTTTATGTATTATAACACCAGTGAGAAGTCTTGAAATCCCCTACTTTCACTTTCATTTTCAGAGGTTAACGCAGACAGACGCATTTTGCCGGAAAACGAATCTGACATGCCACCTCGAGATTTTAACCAAGGAAAGACAACTTGATGTGCTTTGATTTGAGGGGTCACTCAATGCTGAACGAAAATTAGGGACATTGCTATGTGAAGAAACGTTAACATTGCCGCCTATGGGAAAACAATTAGTGGGCTGTACCCATATTGTGGAGCCTATTGGTAAGAGAAAATTCTCACAGATCTTTACTTTGTTTTGAACTCGGTGTTTACTATTATTTCCAATTGTTTAAATTTATGAAAGAAGCAAATTTTAATTTGTTTATACATATTTTGAAACAAATTGATTTGTTTATCCCCCCCCCCTTAGGAACAGACAGCTTATGCTCATATCTCCCATTGTGTAAACATGTAGCATGTAAATTAAATGTATCGATTTTATACAATTTATTAATTCAGAACAGAGAAAAGGAACAATTATTTTAGAAGTACATCCACCACCATTGTTTATTTTCAATACACAAAAATTCACAAGCGAGGTCGGAATCGGTATTCAGTGAAGTTCAAGGTCAAAGTGAAAGTAGAATGGCAGTAAGTTATCAAAACTGCTTAGTGCTACCTAGTGCAGAGTCTTGCAGTATGTAGGTGATATGCATTTGTCATTTTATGGAAGAGATAAAGAAGAAAAAGGTTTCCATGCCTTATTACAATATTTGTAAATGAAAACTTTTATTTTCACGGAATAGAATTACATGAGCGAGGACAATTTACATGTGCATTCTTTCAAAGAAGTCGGTCAGGCTACAGTTCTGTAGAAGTTAAGCAGTGTGAGCGTGAATATGCACACTAACTTTTTTTTTTATATTTTATTAACTGCATTACATGTATTTGTCTACTGTATAATTATTGTCAGTAAACATGCTTTTTACCTGTATTATTAATTTACATGTAATTTAACAATGCTGAGAGTAATTAGTGCAAATTCATAATTTTCAATTGATATCAAATTATGGGCAGAAAAGGAATGTGGTAGGATTTGTGTGTTTGATATCCGTCTGTGAATGTTTTAGGTGCTTTTTGATGCTGATTAATTATTGCACCATTTTTTAAATTTAATTTTTTTTATTAGGATCATGGTGATAGTCAGGACAACTTCGAGGTTCATGCAGATGGTGTTTAAAGCTATCAGTCAGTAAAAACAAACTCATTTGAACACATCTTGAGTCTTCACATGTAAAATGATGGCAGTACTTTTAATATGTAAGTTGAATTTTCTAAAGCTTCTTTTTGTGTGTATGTGTGTGTGTATTAGGGGGTTGGGGGGGGGGGTTGTGTTAAAGCTTAGAAAATGTAGATTTTAAATGAATATTTGAGCTATGAAAGTGACCATCAAACTAATCTGTACATGTATGCTATATATATTTTACAGCTAATATATTTTAAAAAGAATTTCAAAACAATTACATTCATAGTGTTGTGTATGATAAAATATTAAGATTAACAAATATAAGAGTTGAAATTTCTTTAATATTTGTCAGTCAGAATGAGCGACTTGTAAGGAAATTCAAAATTTTCAAAGTTCTCTTTCATTTTCCTACAAATTACAAAATGGTTACCATGGAAACAAAACATTTTCTGTAGACTATTTATTTGATCTGCTCATGCAAGTATTTTTATCATTTTATAGTTGTAATGAATATTTTAGTTCTAATTTCATCTTTAATTAAAAGTACGGGAAAAGTAACATTACATGTGTAATAAGCAATCCATTATTATGATGTAATTATGACGTCATAGATGAGTGAACTTGCATTGGCGTAAAAATTGCTTTGAAACAGATGAATGTATACAAGAATATAAAGGCTTATAACTTTTTTTATTCCTACACCAATTTTCCTGAATGATACATCAATGGACAGGAAATAATCAGTACTTTCTATTTTTACCACTTTCGGGGTATTTGTAAACTTAATTTTTTTGTCAATCATGTAGAAACAATGAATTCAAGGGTGAGGGATGATAAAATTTTGTGCAAAAATGCATTGATTTTTTGAAATAAGAGAAATGGACCCATATGAATGCTTGATTATGATTTTGCTTGATGTATTTAAAGTTTTGAAAGAGAATAACAATGGTATAAGTACATTAATAGGCTAACCGATGACTTAAAATTTGGGTGCAGTTGTGGCTAGATGGAAGCATTTTAAAAGAATTTTGCATATAGAACTGTGCATGGTGTAAAATCTTTATTAATGATTGAATTTTCCTGAAATTTGGCATAATGTCACTACATAGTCTGCAGTATGACTTATGATGTAAAATGTTGTAAAATCCAGAAAATACTTTTTCATATTGGGTACATACCTCTAATTATTTTTAGAATCGGTAGGAGAAGAAAGTAGTGCAGAAAAAATTACAAGTTCCTTAATTTGCAGACCTGAATTAAAAAAAAATGTGATAAGGTATTAAACTGAGCCTCATACTTGTTGATAAGTAGTATGTTCTCTTGCAAAAAAGCTTGGCAGATGTAATTTATCAAGAAGATCAGCAGAATTATTTTATGTATTATAACACCAGTGAGAAGTCTTGAAATCCCCTACTTTCACTTTCATTTTCAGAGGTTAACGCAGACAGACGCATTTTGCCGGAAAACGAATCTGACATGCCACCTCGAGATTTTAACCAAGGAAAGACAACTTGATGTGCTTTGATTTGAGGGGTCACTCAATGCTGAACGAAAATTAGGGACATTGCTATGTGAAGAAACGTTAACATTGCCGCCTATGGGAAAACAATTAGTGGGCTGTACCCAGGTTGCATATCGAGTGTTTCCAGAAAAATCCTTCAAGTCGATTCGTAACGTGTAATTCCCGGATTCTGTGATTGTGTGGATTTTTTCATTTCCTGTTAAGAAAAAAATATGATAAAAGAAAATCATACAGTTTTCATTCAAAAATCCTTTGCCTGGTAATGATACAAATAAACACCGAGAGGATTACGTAATACTAACATGTTCATTATGCGTCTGAAAGAAGAACCTCCGATATTTTTTTTTTTTTAATTAGAAACTAAACACATAGGGAATACTATATTCTTAATTGTTTCATTATATTAAAAACTTATAAAATAGAAAACTAGAAAACAGATGAATCTCTACAATGATTCTAAATTGAATATTAATACCCAAATTATTTCTTGTCTCAAAAAATCCTCATATGCTAAGTATATACTGTCATTGCTTGAATTTAGTAAAATTTATATCTTTTTCTAAAGTAAGAATTCTTATTTACAGTTCAGGAACATTTCAATAGTTTTTATTAGAAATATAGATATCCTAATCAAGTGAAACTGCACAATTAACTTTCCACCGAAAAAGTTTTCCAATGACTTGAAAAATTAGTCTAGTTAAAAAAAACATGAAAAAAAAAACAACAAGAATTATCCACAAGTTCTATACCTAGCCAAAACTCATTTGACAGATTTCCGAATCCAGTTTTGTAATCATCCCAGGTCCTGAAGAAATTTTCAGATCCATCCTGTCTTCTTTGTATAACCTTGAGAAAAAACAAAAAGTAAATAAAACATGAACAGTTATTGCTAATTTGATTTACTGATATATAAAAGCTACTTTTGCTTCTTAATGCTTAAGGAAGAGTATCGAGTTGATCAATTTCATTTGCAGTAAGGAAAAGCCAAGCCGTTTATGGGATTGAACAGCCCGATATTTGTTTTTCTATTGACATTTTTAAACTTTATGTGTACTTTATTCTCTCAAGACCTAAAATGAGTTAAAAAAGAACTATAATAAATAATAGTCTTATCAAGAGAATTGTTGTTGGCTATATTCCTGTATATGAATCCTTATTTATTGGAAAGAAAGCTATGTATTCGACTGTGATGTGAAAGGTTTCAACAAACGTGAATATGTCATTTCAGTGTTATGGAAAATAAAATCACTTTTACATTTTGGAGAAAGCTGAATATAAGATATTTTTTTTTTGAATTCATCACAATAATGAGTCAACAACTGTATGGATTATAAAGGGTGGGAAAATACATTAAAAACGTCCCCGTTGTCCATTTCAATGAGATGTTAAGTGTTAATTACCGTCCATCCACCACCGTCTGTCTGCTGATCACAGAAAACCTGGAATCTAGATCCTTTCTTTGGGAAAATTGTGTACACCTTACTTTCTCTGTAACCTTTTTGCAACAGGTCCTGACAGTCTCTTGGATGAAATACACTACACGTGTCTGTGGGAAAAAATGTTACAATATGGCCCACTTTATATAACTTAAATGCTTGTTTAGAGGGGAAAAAAACAAAATTGAATTTTGAAAAATTACAAAGAGGGTTTTAAGATTTCATAAGTAACCACATTTCCTATTTAATGGAACAAATAGAATTAAAAGAAAATAATCAGATAAATTATATTAAAAATAGGAAGAACTAATGCGATGTAATTCAGATTTGCTTGAAAATTATCTTAAAATATACATATATATTAGATGAATCATTTCTGTATACTTAAAATTATACTGCTTGCAGGATATTTTTTTTGTAGCTCTCTTAAGGAGGGATTCTTCTCTTATTCTGCTCATATTTCTTGTATTTAAAAATAAATGAAATTTTCATAGATTCAAGAAGACAATATCACTAAGTGATGGTATCAATTAGATTAAATTTGACCGTTTTATTTCAGAAAAAAAGGTCATGTCAAGGTCATTATCTTTTTCCTTGACATTTAGAGGAGAACATTACTGTTGCTAATCATGTGATGCCTACTTCTATTTTAAAAGACAAAATGTTTTTCTTTTTGCACAAAAAGATGTTACCATATCGGGTCTATCAGAAGATTCTACCAAATTAATTGACATTACTTAACTTAAATAGATATTGGCTAATCCGGATTTCCTCTGTTTTTCTTAATTTTTTAGGATATATTAGTTATTTTTATATACTTCTTATATTTAAATATTTCTTATTTTTACATATGGTAAAGTAGTCATATAAATATACAAAATGATACAAAAACAAAAAGCTTTGACCGTTTAGTAAGAGAGAAAAAACACTTTTTACTGATTTTTTGCTCAAATCTGATTTAAAGTTGGAGGCCTTCAAAAGCTTACAAGATTGTAGTTTGTTCAGAAAATCATTTTCATTTGCTATGTTTTAAAACTTTAGGACATTATTATTAATTTAAGTTACATATCAAAATTTCTTCAAGTCTTTGATTGTTTTTAAAAATTAACCACATGTAATGTTCTGTAAGTGATTTTGATAGGCAGAAAAGGAGATATTTTCAGTTGCGCCAAAAATATGGTCCCTTATGGATTTCAAACTCAGTTTACCATTTCTATTTAAAATTGTACAATTATGACGAGTAAAAAAAATATGATCTTTTGAATACATTAAAGCTAAGTTTATAAGACATGCAAGCAAATATACTTGGAATATTTTGTCTAGTCAGAAACCAGACAAGAATCCCTCCTTAACTAAGAATTTAATCGCGGTATAAACACGGAAACACCTGTTTACATTAAAAATCCCTAGAATTATTTTAAAAATTTATTTTAAAATGATTTTTTTTAATTTAAAGATTAAACATATCTTTGCTTTGTGGTCATTTGTAATGGTGGTTGTGATTGATTGATTTTTTTTTTTAATTTTTAATCATATGATAGAGGTTTCAGATTATAACAGTGATATTTTTAAAAGATGTCATGTCTGATAATTTTTTTTAATTCCAAATTGAGGCAAATTTGCTTGATTGACAATTTATGGAAAGTCCTTATTTTATGTTGGCATCAGGGGTAAGTGTATGCAATAAATTACGTTTAGAATACTTGGATTAAAAATAATATTATTAATAATGATATTTTTACTAAATTTCAAATGATTTTTGCAAATCTACCTGTTAAATTGTTTTGTTATTTTAATTTAAATAAATGTGTAAATTTAATTTTCAAGAGAACAATTCTATTTAGAAGGACACAAAGCAAATATTAGTTGCGTTTTGTACGATTTCATACTCTTAGATAAAGGTTCGTTATCTTCACCTTTTTCATATCAACAAAATATTTACATTTTGGTTACAAGGGCGTAATACATTCAATATTAACGTGGTTATTGATTCAGCTAAACTGTGGGCATGTCTTATTTAAACATAATATCAAATACAATCAAAATATGCAATTAAAACAGAATACATGTATATTCACACAAATCCAAGAAACGAAATTTGTTTTACCTCCTCCACACCTCCATACTAAATCACGTATCAACATCAATTCTTCTTTCATTTCTCTGATATCTTCTTTTGTAGCCAATTCTTTGTAATTTATCATTCCTGGAATTTCTCCAATTGTCACAGTTTCATTTCGATTGTAATTACCTTGCTGGTTTTTAAAAAGTTCTGAGGCAAGTTTCACAAGTGTAAAAAAGGAATTCTTCACCGTCACACATGGGTCAGTTGGTTCAGGTATATTTGCAATTGTAGCAGGAACGAAAAACAGTACAAATAGTACGATGCTCATTTTATTGCTCATCTTTTGTGATCTAGTATGCAATCAAAATTCAAAACAGTTTGGTGGACAGATATAAAGTGCAATTTAAAAATAGGCCTCTATTAGATTAGTTTTTGTTACATATTCACCTTGAGCTGAACACCTTCAATTTATAGCATAATTTAAAAACAACAAATAAAGGAATCAATTGACAATATGATAGTTTAATCTGAGGAATTAAATTAATAACAAAAATTAGAATTTTCCACTTACTTTTAGTATATTCAGTTTGTAAAATGCATCAAATACGTGAAGTACAATTAGAGCGCTTGTTTTATTACCTTTCGCTCTAACGATCGTGACGTTCTTTGATAGAACTATGCATCATATTTGTTGCACAGGTGGTGAAAAATCATGAGTAATTTCTAAAATCACATGTAATTTCAAAAATCATGTCTAATTCCTCACTTCAGCTGAATGCCTCTTGTAGATCATTGCAGCGCTTTTACCTCTGAGCTATTATACATTGACTGATAATTACGGACTTTTTAACCAAGTCAATTCTGGCTTATTGTAGAAAGTCTCATCCGGGACTCAACATAGGTCTTCGAGCGTAATTTGCATTTGCTCTAACCACCTAGCTTTTGAGACCTAATATAAAGACTAATATTCACATTCAATCCAATTCATAGTTAACATTTTTCGACCTTGCTGTTCAATAGAGGATATTTTTTATTCTTTTTTTTCATGCAGGAAACGTCGATTTCTAAATGGATCGAGTTTATAATTGAAAACTTTATTACAAATGTTGATTTTATCTTAAATGTACTCTATAGCATTAAGGCCAGAATGAAAAAAAAAATCCACATAAGGAAGGGGAATTAGAAATGCTAATAAACATAAATAAAAACTCGTAGTGATATAACATTGCATATTGGTATTATTTAGGTATGGTGGTATTTAGAACGTCTTATAGATGTTTTATCAACCACTCAATTTCCCTTTTTGAAACAGATGAATTACAATGGGTTAAATCAATGTCAATATACTTTTAAGTATCTGGATCATCTCTTGTCTGAATGGTCAACATCTTATTCATTGTCATTGATTTTGAGAAGACATTAAATTGTAACATTGAAAAAAATATTTTTTATTTCCAATTAAACACTCCTCTGACAATAGTGTTTTTTTTTTTTGGGGGGGGGGGGATAACCACAAAACAATTAGTAAGAAATAACTACATTTATTTTGAATGGCAACATATAAAACAAGAGATTTTAGGGTTTTAACGGTCACCTGAGTGTAATATAACAATTTAGAGGATCCATAGAGTATAAAATAAACTGATAGATGAAGCTTTGTTGCCCAAATGAAAGAAAAAAATAGGATGATCAGGATCAATGATATAATAAGTCAAGTATTATGTAAAAACTCATAAATTAAGTTCTAATATGTCCTCCATTTATCCTCTATTTATCACTATCACCATTTAGACTTTTGACAATTTATTAGTGCTTCTGTACTATTTAAAACCCCATTACCCCTCACTTTGGCATCCCTTGGTCTTCTAAGTACATTAGATAAGAAAAATATTTCTTCTTTTTTTGTCTCGTTCTTATTCATCTCTTATTTCACAAGTCTGCCTAATATTGAAGGTATGAGGGTGCTTTTTGTATTATAAATGTACAAGAAAAATTCCTGCATAATTCTCATTCCATTAACCTCTCAAATGCATTATTGTCATTGAATAATCATCAGAAGTGAATTACAAAGGGGAATAACATCCCTCAGTAGAATACTAATTAATAGACACTTGGCCAAGACCAGAAAACTTGACCAAATGGTCCATATGTTCAAAAATCTTGTTAAAATATCCTTGCTTTTGAAATTTGATAAAATAACACAGGTAATGTCTACAATGTTTTTTTTTTTAATCTATTCTAATACTGATTTCTTAAGGATGAAGAAGAATACGCAATTATTTTTTTTTATGAGAGTGTTCTTTGCATAATTGTACTTTTTTCCCATTTAGTTGTATGACAAAAGCAGAGGCATAACTCTGGTTTCCTCCTCGGATGTTTTACTTCCGGTATAGTTTCCTCAGCTATCAAATCCAAATGAAAATTTGTGCTTTATGTCAATATTTGTTTCTGATCTGTGCATGTTTAAGATCGACATCACTGTTGCTGTTGTTCTGTCTGGTGTGCGTTAATTTCATTTTTTTTCTGATCAAAGCAATCATTGCGGCAATAAATACCAAGTATTGAAATTGCCGTCACTGAATATCCAATAAAATAATTTCCTATGTAAAACACCCAAATGTAGTCTTCATATAAAACTTGCTTTTATGATGAAAGTGTGACCAAGGAAATTATGTGTAAAAATGTATGTGCTAATCCGGGACAAATCGTAGACAATGATAAAAGAGTCACCGGCCAGTTTGAACTTAGGGTGTCAAAGGACGTCAGAGGGTAAGACTTGACTAAACATTTATCTCCTGGACAAATCAAATAATTGATTTTTTTTTTTTGGTTGTTGTTGTTATTTAACGTCCATCCGGAGAATTTTTCACTCATATGGAGACGCCACCACTTGCAGATGGAGAGCTGCAAATTTAGACCTATTCTCGGCACTCAAGCCATTGAGCAGTGAGGGATCTTTTTCGTTGCAACATCTACTGCGACACGGGGCCTCAGTTTATACGGTCTCATCCGATGGACCGGTCTCCACGTCCCACAGTGGGATTCGAACCCGCGACGTAAAGATCAACTCTTCACTACGTGACTCTAGAGCAGACGTTCTACCACTGTGCCACGCAGGTGACAAGTTCCTTTGTAAATGTTATGTAATTATGTGTAATTTGTTGTTTTGTACATTTTATTCAGTTATCGGCTGGCTTTCGTCAAGACGGTCACGATGAACAGTGCTTTCGTCCGCTATATGGCGGAGCCTGTCCACTTTGTTAATAAATTGTTATAGCTGTATATTTGGAGTCCCGTCTTACAATTGACATCTAGGGTTAAATTCTGGTAATTTTATTAACATCCTTCGTTTGTCTTTTACATGTATATGTGCTTCCTCTCGTCACTGAGCAGCAAAGAACCATTTCAACTACTGCTGTATATTTGGAATAAATAAGGGCGAGTCTTACAGGCGGTAAGATAAAATGGGGTCCTCTTCAGGCTTGAGTGGAGGCGAACGCCGAATTCGCTCTAGCGGACCCAGAGCTGACCTCAAACGAACGCTCAGCAAACCCAGAGCACAACCAAAGCAAACCCATTTTTTTTATTAATCAGTCGCTCATTTAAACCATAATTTGATTAAGAGCATTAAATATAGTAATGAACAAAGTTCTATAATGTCAATGTAGGTAAATACGTGTTATAAGACGACAAATCAAATTGCATTGAGAGAGCGAGTTTCTTCTTTTTCGCCGCTTCTCCCTCGCTAAAGTGGCTTTTAACAGGTTAATTTACTATGTTTAAAGTTTTTGCAAATTTTCTCTCGCTGACATTTAAAAAAAATAAAGTTTGGCATCCAACCTCATCGGCAAAATCAGTGATTTGGTCGTCCATAAAGCAGAATAAAGTTTGTATCGCGTATATTCTAGTAAAATCAACTTGAACAACTGATCAGCCATTGTCACCTTTGACGTCACATGGTCACGTGATCCCTACAAATCCCTTTGTTATCAAAACTATGCTTCAAACGTAAGTACGTCTTAACATGGAGGTATCCCATGCTACCTTAAAACTAATGGCATTTCATTTAACATTTAAGGAGATCTATAATGTTTGGTATAAATACTAAGTTAAAGAGATCCAAACATAGCAGAATAGAACAATTTTAGTTTTAAAAAAATAAAAAAACAAAGTTTAATGAAGAGTATATACATGTACATCTTTAAATGTATAAGAAGTCCATGTAAACATATAAACTCTTTTAATACTTTTACAATATTATAGTATATTGTTTCACATACACGCTTAAGTCTTAGATAATAGAACAGGTAGAATTGACGGAATTTCGTTGCAGGATCAGTATAATCTTTGCAATCTTAAAACCCTCAAAATCCATTTCCAATCCCCGCCCGAACCCCCACCAAGTCTTTGCCAGTCTAAGGCTTCCAGCCCCTATAGTTTTGCCTTACTTGGATTTAAAGTCAAGCTACGCCCCTGGAGTACTTACACTTAACTGGCATAGGCAGGTTAATTATCAACATCGTCAAATTCACTAACCTTTCCTTCATTACCTGTGTATATTATCGAAATTAAAACTGAATTTTACAGGAGTTAAAATCGCACACTGGACTAAGAGTAAAACCCAAGAATAAACTTAACTGAATTTCTAAATGGTTATGGGTCAAGGATTTATACGGGCCCCGCATGGATTTGAGGGTGCCCTATAGTTATCACTTTTTCTGTCTGTCTGTCTAGCTGATTGTCTGTCTGTCTTCCGTCCACATTTTTTTTTTGTTTTCTAATAACTTTTTTATGAATGACTAATTCAGTTCAAAATTTGGTGTGTTGGTTGAATAGGCAGTAAGACATATTTTCATACTAAGTTTGGTTCCCTATGCCATCCGATTTCCAGCTGGGGTGGAGGGGTAGATTCCTTAACTTTATATAAGAATGAATGGACAAAGAGAGATAACTGCTTGGAATATTCCTAATGTAAACTCTGAAAGCTGCAATGAGCCCCGTGGGATTAATTAACTTTCCTCTTCAAGAAAATCTAAAGCTTTATCTTTATCTGTCACATTGAGATTAATTAACACCTCTGTCTGCAAAGGGATATTGCATACAATGTCAAAGTCCACAAAATAAAAACTAAAGACGGATAAAATTTCAAGACCACAATACTCAATTGAGCATGTCATAAAATATGTAGAAACAACAACGAGATGAATCTCTGCCGTTCAGTTAACTGAAAGGTTACTAAAAGTTTTTACTGAAAGGTATCTGTATGGCTGTATGGCAGAAGTCTGCTTTGCTGTTTCATTCACCATTCAACTATACGGTTTCTATTTGCCATTTTTATTCCTTCCGTCTTTATTACATATTCCCTCATTGTAATGTCATTATTTTGCTCAAAGTCTAATCCCTGCATTTAAATGACCTAATAGAGACTTAGAGTGCTAATATGAAAAATCAAATGAAAATGAGACCAAAGGACGGCAAGAATATTTATATTGAATGCAATATAAGAATGATTTGTTTAATTTATTATTGAATTTATATATCTCTACATTGATCTGACATATGGATTTTTTTTTTTAAATTCACAATTTGATACAAGGTCATATAGCTCATTAAGAAAGAATATCAACTTGCAAGTTTTGAACGAATCGGGGGATACTTTGTTGCTTAAAAAAATCAAATGTCCAATTTTCAATAATGATAAACCTTCTTTTACGTCCATAAACAGTTGATTTATTTTCTTTAAATGGTATAATTGTGCTATGTTTACAAATGTTTTAGTCTGGCATTGTCTATTTGTTGCACATGCCTTTTGGGTATTCCTTGCGCTCAACCTCATTTTATTTTATTGGAATTTGAACTTGATTTCCTTTCAGTAACTTCTCTAGTTTTGAGGAAGTTATACATAAAGGATCCATCCAATGTCAAATCATGTGACATGTCATATGTGACGATAACTCAACATCTTTTTTCATATAATTGTTCATCTTTTCAAGGAATAAATACTATTTCAGCTGCGCCCTTTACATGTTATCTTAAAAAAATAAAATCACTAAGGTTTCAAAATACGATTTATTATCAATATAGATAATTTTAAGAAGGAATCACTGTGTTGTTTCAGAAGAAAGCAAATGGTCTATTTTGAAAAATCACAAATTTTAAATTTCATGAAAATACATTACATTTAGGGAATGTTGAAAAAATCATCAATCGCCTTCTGTATTTTAAAATAACCAAATTAGGGGAAAAAATACTGGATTTGATGTACCTGTCCTTTCAGTTTCCTTGTTTCCTTTGTAAAATAAAAATTCACATTTTTTGACCGCTGCTATTCCTTGAGCTCTCTATTGTTAGAATCAAACAGTGCTCACAATTTCAATGCAAATTGAAAATTTTTTTTTACCGCTGCTATTTCTTGAGCTCTCTATTGTTACAATCAAACAAACAGTGCTCACGATTTCAATGCAAATTGAAATTTTTTTTTACCGCTGCTATTTCTTGAGCTCTCTATTGTTACAATCAAACAGTGCTCACAATTTCAATGCAAATGAATCGCAGCTTCCTATTTTACATATAAAATTATTACATGCACGTGTCCATTTTAAAACACGAGAAATGTTTAGTTTAGGATTCTTTTTTGGAACATAACTAGACACAGGCTAACAATATAAAATAATAATTGAACTGTTTTTTTTTTTTTTTAAATCAATAGAAATTTATTAACTTTAAAATTTAATAATAAAGATGCATATAAGGAGTATATTTTGATGCATATGACTGAATCAATTCTGTACAATGCATTAAATTAAAAAAAAGCTCTCAAATATTGAGAAAAAATATACCCATGACAGTATTTTCTACTCCTTCAAAATGCTTGCCTTTTTATGGCAATGTATATCTGTATATGTGTTATCATTAGCCTCTTGTAAAGCGCAATTCATTTATTGAGTTAAGCATCAATTTAAACCTGAGCTAAATATGTTTCAAAAATCATGTCGAAATTAATTTGCCATTAAGTCCTTGACAATATGTTTGAAAAAATATTCTTTCAGAAAACGAAGAGATAAACAACACAGACAAAATATAACATTTTCCAGATCTTTTTAATGTACGAATTTACGTGATAGTATTTCGCAATTCGTTTCCATTTTTTAAGTTTGAATTTTAGACACTCGTTTTCCTGATTTTCATGTCTGCAAACTTCAAGGAATAATTATATCCTTTCCAGTCGAGCCAGTTTACACCATTAGCAAATGATGTATGATTTCCTTTCAAGTAGAGACCGTTAAGGTTAGATTGATGACAAGTTTTGTACCACCAGCCCCCTTTAAATCTTTTTGCACAAGTTTTCTCATTATCCCGATCCTTTGAGACAAATGCGACATTATTATGGTAAGACAACGAGTCGCCTAAAGAAAACAAAAAAAAAACAACAAAAAAACAAAAAAAAAACATTGTTGAGATTAGAAACATTAACATGTAATCAGACAAGAATAAATTTAAAATAATTAGGCAATTTTAGAGACCTACCAGCGTCTCCACTGTAGCCTGAGACGGTCAAAAGATATCCCGATTTCTCATTTCCAACAATGAAGGTATTGTAGATTGCGTGTCGAAAATTTCCGGAAAAATCCTTCATGTCAATTCGTAAAGTGTATTTTCCAGATTCTGTCATAGTGTGGATTTTGTCATTTCCTGTTAAAATATGTTTTGATGAGTAGGAAATAATATTTCTTTGCATCAAGAGAAAGAAAACTGTACACCCTTCAGCCAAAAATCCAGTATATATGATAAGTATGCATATAAACCACAAAGAAGATACCTTGTACTTCGCTTTAACATGTATATACTATGCGATTGAAAGAAAAACTTTGAAAATTTTCTGTTAAAATTAATTGAGTGGTTAAAAAATATTGGTAAAACTATAATATTTTAAATTTGATTTTACCCATTTAATGTAATTTCATATGAAAAAAGACGAATCTCGGTAACGGTTCTTTTAAAAATGCCCCAATAATGTTTTGTAACAAATTGTCTCCAAATACTAAGCATATACTACCATTGCTTGAATATTATTGACATCTTCATCTTCTTGAAATTATTTCTTTCACATTAAAAAATCATTTTAATTTGTGGTTGTTATTTGAAAGTAAGAAATGTTAATCAAGTGAAAATGGAGAATTATCTTTCCAGCGAAAAGTATTTCTTTGATTTGAAAAATTAGTCCATTTAAAAAAGAAACTAATTACAGACTGAAACCACTAGTACTTTACCTAGCCAAAACTCATTTGACAAGTTTCCGAATCCACTTTTGTAGTCTTTCCAGGTTCTGAAGAAATCTTCAGATCCATCCTGTCTCCTTTGTATAACCTTGAGTAAAAATAGAAGTGAAAGTTTCTTCTATTTTGATCCACTTATGTTCCAATCACCACTATTTTTTTGGTTTGTTGCTGACTGTTTATGCAAGCGTATTATAGGATTGATCAATAGCGTAGACAGAAAGGAGAGTCATCTATGAGTTTGAAAAACCCGATATTGCCGTACAGTGTAAATGAATTCTTTCTTATCTCCCAAACAATACAAAGATGCTGACAGAGAAGCAACAGTTTTCAACAAACATTTCAGTCCAAGGAAAAATATATTTACGCTTTGGATTAGACCGACACATATTTTTCTTTTAGAATTAAAAATGCTTAAGATGGATCCTCCACAAGAAAAAAATCTTTCTTAAAAAACCAAAATTTTTGAATCTCTGAAACATTTGTATTGTACATGTATGTGGGTCAGAGTTGAATTATCATCTAACTTCAGTCTTGGATTCTTATCAATGACATGTACTTTTTATGGAAAGAACCAGAAGGAATTAAAAATCACTTAAACAAGTATCTTGCTATCCAGTTACACTGTAAGTTTTGGAGAGGAAAAATAAAATCATACAGCAGACTTCTCGTCGATATAGTATTATATCATTTTTCTTAAATTGTTATTATTATAAGTATTGAATATTTTTGACAAACTATTATTTTTGATGGATGAGTTACTCATTCAAAAAATAATCCAGAGTGATTGAAATAGTATAATGCATGAAACCTATTGTGTAAAGTATATGATAGAATTTAACCCAGTTAAGTATCATGCAACAAATTTATAAATCATAGTTAGTAGGAAAATGCGCTAGTTGTCAATTTGAATTCGATTTAATGTGTTTCTTACCGTCCATCCGCCACCGTCTGTCTCCTGATCACAGTAAACCTGGAATCTAGATCCTTCCTTTGGGTAAATTGTGTATACCTTACTTTCTCTATTACCAGTCAGTAAAATGTCATAACAGTCCCTTGGATGAAATGTACTACATATGTCTGTACAATAAAAAACATTAAACTAGTCAAAGTATTGTTTGTTTATGAAAAAAATCTTAAAACTATATAAAACACATAGTTACACCCTCACACACACACACACAACCAAAAACATAGACATGTTGTATTGTTTGTTTGACTTATAAAACAAAATTTAAAACTGTTGGGTAATTCTTTCCGATGAGTTATCCTTCAGGGTTTCTTTTTTAAAACAAAAAATAGTTAATAGACTAAAAGGTAGCAACTGTTTTCTTACCAAGCCCTCGGTACTCTGAAGTGAAAGTTACGGGTCTTTGATGACCTTAAAAACAGAGACCTCGTGTCAAGGCAGGCTTGTCACGATAAAAATCTATCACTGCTCAATGGCTCAGAATATTAAACCCTTCACCTGTACATGGTGGCGTCTATTTATGAGCAAGAAATTGTCGAACGGGACGTAAAGCAACACACATCAATCAATTTAGATCAGATATGAGATGTGAGAGTAAAATAAAGGTATCGCTTTGATAACATGCCTTCAAATATCACAATTTCTTTGAATTTGGAATTTATACGTAAAATATTTTATTTATGCAAAATATTGACGTGGTAAATGATGTGCCTGAAATTTGCGTATGGTTTGTTTTGTATTTCATGTGAGATTAATACGCATTCAGAACTAAATTCAATTTTTTGCAAATCGTAGATATAGATTTATTGTTACCTCTTCCACAACTTTGTTGTAAACTATCCAATTTCATCTTAATTTCTCTGATATCTTCTTTTGTTGCCAACTCTGGTTTTTGGTTTCCCCCCGTTGTCATAATTCTAATTTTGTTGCAGTTAGCTTCCTGTTGCTTAGCAAGTTGTGTAGCAAGGTTAAGAAGTGTACGAGAAGAATCCATTTCCGTTGCACATTGATCTGTTAGTTCAGGTATACTTGCAATTGTGGCCGGTACCAAGAACAGTACAAACAGAACGATGTTCATTTTAATACTGATCTTCTGTTGTAATCTAGTGCAAAATTTAAATTCAAAACAGTATGTAGAATTCATCTCAGTTCATGAAATACCTAAAAATATATAATAAATAGATTATACAAGGTGTTTCATACTATCTGCGCCGATTATAATTGCCTGTAAAATGTTTAATCTTAATCAAATTAAAATATATATATATATTATTCTCAAGACGAAAAGAAATATTATATCTTCCAAAAATCAGGATGATGCCATCTTTGACATCATAAATACACACTACAATGTCGTTGTCTCTGTTTAAATATCAAAGTTGAAGTCGAAGTTGTGTGGCCATACAATTATTGACATTCACCAGTAAAGTTTCATCACGACAATACATAAAAATATCAGTATCAGAAAAAAAAAATCATTACAATTCAATTAGTATATCGTGAAAACAAGAGATAAAAGAATATTTTCCTGTGGTGATCAGAATTTCAAAACATGTTAAACTATTTTGTTTAGAAAAAGCGCGTTATTCAGCACGTATAATGCAAAAATGAACTTTTCTAAAGATAGCTTTTTGAAAGAAATTATAAATGTATATACAAGAAAGAAAGTGTTGAAAACATATTAACTAGCTTAGCAAAACCTTTTAGATAAATTAGTCTTATGTATTTCTATACCAGTGTAACTTCTCTGAACTACCTAGATATGACGTCATAATGGCATATGACGTCAAGTCACTGCAAATTTGAGCAGACATAACGGGGAAAGTGTCATAACTTCTACATTCCTTTCACATCACATGTAGAATTTTTTTTTTACGTTGATGTTTAATTCATGTGTCTGGATTGTTGTTTTAAGGCTGTTGTGATGGTGAATATTTGCAGTATAATATCGTTATTCCTTTTTCTTGTCTAACATGTACGTATTCAAACAATTACAAAAAATGTGAAACGCTCCCCCTTACGCGTCTGTAGACAGAGTGAGAATGTATAAATCGTGTATATATTAGACTGGCACAAGTGAATAACAAGGATAAATTAAAGATATTCTATGTGAATCTACTAGAGAAATATGTCCTCTAACTGAATTTTGCTGGGGGATTGTATGTAATTTATCCCATTTTGTATAAATTGCGATGAAGAGTGGAAAATGACCCCTTGTATGTGGGTAAGTTGAATTTATCGTGAAATATTTTCTCAAGAAATAAAATTCAGACTTGCCCCCAGCACTTTATACAGTGGCTGCAACGTTATTGTTGACAAACCAATCGCGTAGAATTGTTCGTGTAACTTGCGTGATCGTTCGTGTAACGTGCGAGATCGTGCGTGTATCAGACTCAATCGTTTGCGGTTTTAAGCGTGCGTGATCATGCCTTAAGAAACGTGTAAATTTCGTTTTGTTAGTTTTTATCGGAATGTTATTTGTTATAAAAGCACTTCGCTTGTCTGGGTTTTTTTTTCTATCCAAATAAAATAAATGAAGCGCGATTTACATAATTGAGAGCAGAACGAACTAATTATCGCTTGGAAATAAACAATATAGCAAGTCGTACAATATTGTGTTCTCGTCAAATAGCGTGATTTTTTGTGATAAACCGTACTTAGATGTTTAAGGATTTTCCTCTGATGTTAATTATGTTTACTGCTAATTATGGTCAAGATATTTTTAAAAACAATAGATCAAAAAAAGATATTTTTACAAATTAATAAATAAACAATTCTCAATGCTTACATGATATTTAGTCAGCGAATGTACATGTGCAAGATATGATTGTCGGTGTTTCGTTTATCAGTGTTTATTCTGGGGCTTACTTTTAATTATTTTTATATTTTCTGCAAATAAATGATTTGTAAAATAATTGTTGATCTTAAAGATTGACAAATGGAAACTTGGATATAGCTTATAATTTAATTCATTTTCATGCCATTTTTCTCCCAAACTTATCCCTTTCTGCATATTATGAAATCCAATTAAATCAAAACTCACTGTCCACCTACATGTACATCTTACATCATAAAATCAGTTTTCTTAAGTCGGAGAATTACGTAAATAATTATTTGTAATCCAAAATAATTAATAAGTCTTATATGTATTTAGTTCCAGAAATATTCATTTCTACTTCTTTTTTTTCATTTTTCAAAGTCGATGAAATAATATCAATAATTATTTGAAATCTAAAATAAATATTAAGCCTTATTTCGTTTTGAAAATATCCATTCCTAAAGAATTTGAACTATTTTGCGTGAAGAATCGTGCGTTTGCGTTAGCAATCTTGTAAGATCGTGTAACGTGTAGAATCGTGTGCATGAAGGATCGTATCAGATTTTATCGTGCGTTAATCGTGCGGAATCGTTCGTGTTACGTGATCGTTCGTGTAAGTTGTCAACAATAACGTTGCAGCCACTGTATATACCCAAGAATACGTTTAATTGATTTATGTAACAAGTCGTTCACAATTATTTTGTTTTTCACTTGTGCCGATGCGATTTTTGTGCAACATTAAGAAAATTTATAAGTGTCCGTCACGTGATCAACACAGTCATGTGACATCACAGAAATGCTTTTTTTATAATACCTTGTTCAACTCTTACAACTAAACGGTGTATGTATACAAAGAGTACAAATTGAAATCAAAACATAGCTCAAAATAAAATAGTATATATCTAATGCATATTATGCCTTCGGACAGCCTTAACATAGCTGCGTAAGATATATATTAAATTGGTGGAGTGAAAATGCACTCTAGAATGAATTCAAATCTTCGATTTGGAGATACAATTTTACATTCAAATCAAATAATCCTAAACTTTATAGAATGAAAAAAATGAAGAAAACGAACAGTGATTGGTTTAACAAAACACCTACAATCAACACAGATCTGTAAGCAGGGCATAAAACACAGTGTCTAGCTAGGAGGAGTAAGTATCCCTTGAAAACAGGTCACATTCGCAGTGGTCACTATGTATTGATCAAGTAATTGGAATATAAAGTAGTCAAATTTAATATAAAAACAAAGATCTAATAAATCGTAATAAAACACGTCGGCCAATATACGACTCAATGATAGAAATAATTACTAACATGGTTATTATAACGACTATTGAATTCACGAAATGCTAACTTTCAACGAGGTTGTTGAAATCCCCTTAACATCAACTTATCTTTCAACAGGCTGCCTCGGTTTAAAAATTGATTGAAATCACAGCACGAATCTGAGTGAATAAGTTGGTAGAAATAATCATCATATACTACATAAATAAGGAAAGTTGATAATAAAGAAACTAAAGTTCTCTTGTTTTTCATGCAGTTTAGTTGTTGGTTGACCCTAATTGTCTATAGTCAGTAAAACATTTAAATATGAAACAGACGTAGCATATTTTCTGCTGTCGTTACTTTCACGTTCCCTGGAATACATCGATTAAACATATGATTTGAAGTAAATATTGTTAATTTAAAAAAAAATCGTCTATATTTTGGAATGTCGAGTTGAAGGCCATAGGAAGCGTTCAATTCTTCTCACGCACAAGTACAAGTACGTGTTCGAATAAATTTTGCTTCATAGAAATATAAAAACAGGTTGGCTAATAAATGTGCCAAGCCAATGCACATGGGAATTACAAAGTTTGTTCTTGGTTTCCAAAGACTACATATATATTATCAAAGAGAAACTCCAGCATCCACTTAATAACAACCACAGAGTATTGTGTGTACATGTAGAATCAAATTGATTTTTCTAGCAAGTTCATTTTTTATGAAAAATCAAAAGATATAGGCCTGTTTTTATGGACTTTTTTTAAATGATGCATGAATGGCGGTCATACATTGCAGACCTCAAGAATTTAAAAAAATAGCGAATTATGATTATTTTTATCAATTTTATATCAATTTAACACTGGTGTTTTTTTTTTTTTTCTTTTATGATTTTTAGCATTGATTCCGAATAAAATATATTTGTAGTGAAAAAAAAATGAACATCGTGCATTTAAAGTTATTTTAAAAGAGATATGAAAAATCGAATCATGCAATTCTTGTATTTTTTTTCTTCTCATTGTTATGTTTTTAATCATGTATCTGTTGGTTTTTATTTTCAATTATATAGGTAGTTTAATACCAGATTCTAAATATTATAGGTGAAAAATAAATTTATTGAAATTTGATAAAGATCTACCTAATCATGTATATTCAGAAATTGAAAGTACAATCTTTGATTTTATTTTGATATTATTATCATATTTCAAAAATATTTGGACTTGCAACGATGTTTTCTTTCTGGAATGAAAAAGTGTTATTTTCCTCAAAAAGGCATCTCTTTGTAAACCTGATTGAGATCTAGCATGACCTGAATACTTTCAATGTTCAGCAAAATAAGCTTTAAAAATGTATGAAAGGTATCAACTAACAATATTATGGGATACTTGGAGGAATAAAATCAACACAGAAATAAGGAAATAACTACTTACCTTTCTTTAGTAAAGCTTGTAAGCTGTAGTAGTTACACTCACCTAAAATCAAAGAGGAACGATAGTTTTATTCTTCCTTAGCCCCAACAATCGTGATGTTGTTAGTCTGAAATTTGCAACATGTTGGTGTCACAGATTGTTTATGTCCTTTCTATGACTGCAACCCAGGGCCTCTAGCAGATCGTGCCAGAACTCTTACCACTGAACTGTTTAAACCAGATATTGACTGATATTTACACAGCAATCAATCTGGTGACATGATATATTTCCCTTCTATGAAGAAATTCAAGATGCAGCGACTATTGAGCTAATGACTAACTCATATTCACAAACAGGTGTGCATAGAGGATAAATTTTTATTCATACGGATGTTAAAAATGAATTTGAGATTGCTGTTTAAAACTATCCTTCATATCCGATTACATTAAGCAAACTATGTAATTTAAATATGACATTTTAGCATATCTTGAAACATGT